AAACAGATCAGACATAGAATCGCACATGCTCGTGCGTGCTGCACCCATTCACGTGCAACGACAGATTAATCGTTCATTGCCCTTACCACGTGCTCAGTTCGGAAGCCGTCCGTCCTCCGTCCGCCCCCTTCATCAGGGCCAGCTGGTCACAGCACCACGTTCCTCGCGTTCAGAAGCTTCGCGTCCTGGTCCTATCCGTCCACATCGTGGGTCCGAACGATTCTTCTTGCACGTAGTCCAGGCGGGCGCCGGGTGCTCGGGGAGCCGTCCACGCAGCTCATCCAACACCAAGCCGGCGATCTTGCTGTAGCAACTGCAGAGACCACGCCAGGTCAAGACGCACGTGCACTTCCGAGTTCATCTTTGTTCCGGGGGAGGGGGGAGGGGTGGGGCAAGGGAAAGGGATACGAACGTTGAAAAGCTAAGACGTAAGCAATGGGAGAGATGAGTGCCTTGTGTGCCATCGCCCTGACGGCGATATATAATATACGCGATCACGGCGGTCACGCTGTTTGAACAGCACGGACAAATACCACATTCAGCACCAAAAACAACAACAAGAAATTTGACCAAATCACTTGTTAGAACGCATATCACATCCTGGTGACGCCCTTTCTAGCAAAAACAACACATCGTCCTGCAATCGGTGTCATCCGCACGAATGAACATAAAAAGGGATTTGACATATGCAAACTTGCACCCATAGCATGACCTTCATACACATCAGAAACACAACCGAGCTGGCAGAATGTTTGCGCGCAAGGCCTATGATTCCATATGGAAATCGAACGATTCGAAAAGAGATAAAAGACTCACGTTGGGGATTACTCTCGGTTGTCGGTTTGCTCCGGAACCATCCAGAGGCTCATCAGATAGAAGGCTTCGGGCACGTTCAGATGCTGCACTGGCCGCTGCATGTACTCCCGGAACATGGGCAGCAGCACGACGTCTCGCTGGATCTCGCGGAACAGCATCCGCGCGTAGTAGCGCACAGACAGGTCATCATCCCTGCCCAAAAGCGGATAGTGTTACACACGTGCCTCAGACAGCATTTTCTCGTTCCGAAGGCAAAGTGCGACGTCCGGGGCTTAGTTACAAGTCAATGAGTTTAACTGCTGGAGCGAATAGGCTGGTTTGGTCTTTACATTAGCTGCGTGATAACAGAACATACGATAAGTGCATGATGGTGATGGTGGATAAACCAGCCTGGTACGTGCGATATAGACAAGCTGGCACGGTGCGACGATCGACGTTAAGTCACGAGCAAGGCATGGCAGTGGCACTTGGGTAAGAAATTGAGCCATTCTTGGTGGCGTCTCACAGACATATCCGAGATACAACTGTCATTTAAAACTGAGATGAAAAGGCGAGACTGTCGTCAAGGACAGCACGGTCCCTCAAATTACCGCCGGCGTTCCATACGACTCAATTATCGTTTGGAACGACAAGACGTTTCAGAAGCTTCGCAAATAACCATCATGGCGTGCAAAGAAATCTACACTTCAGTAACTGGGTGATCTTCACCATATCCTTTAAAATTGTGAAGTGGCACGTGACGGGTCAAGTGAAGTAGATACTACATGGCAGTGCTTCACATATGTGCCTTGCAATTTATGCTTGGCCAATTTATAAATCTAAGCAAACTGCCGAGACCACAGCACACCGATTATGTAATCCAACTTACGGACGGTGTTGGCGCGAGTAGATGACCTCCAGAAGGGCATCCCGATTGAACAGGGTACCATGGACGGGCACCAGCTTGCGGAACTCCTCCATGGCGGGATCCGGCAGGCAGTCGACTGTGTAGCATCTGTCAGCCATCTTGGCTAGGGCTGTACGCAGGTGATGGCCAGCCGAGGCGCGGAACCTCGCAGTGCGCCGCCAGCTGCATCCGCACCGCTCAAACACGCGCAGCAAGGCAGGTCGACGAGGGCTGCACCAAGCGCGGGTACCTGCGAAAAAAGACAACGGCGTCGCCATTGAGGCGAAAAGGGGGTTCGGGAGGAGGTCTACTAGATGAAAGACGTGGCTTAACATCGCTTTTGTCTCAGAAAATCTCGGCCAAGGCACTGTGCGCAGTGAGGGTGATTAAATCAATACCATCTTCACAAGGAATATGCAAAGAGCAGTGAAGCATACAATCAAATAATGTGTTTGCAAATTGCCAACCTCCCATACATTCGCCATGGCTAACTCTGAAAAGCAACTGAAAACAGGCATCTGACAAGGTGGGGGCATTGACTGAAATTAAAATCCTGAAATAGACTTGTGGTAGTATGCATGAATGCAACAGTTTGTAATATGATGAAGAAAGCAATGATAATGTTACTTCTATCAACATTATGCTGCATGAACCTGAGATAGTTGGCCTTAGTCATCTAGATAACCTGACAGAGTGCCCCCAGGATAGTGATAGATCAAATGCTTTGAGCATCCCACTAGCAGGTTGAATATGCTGACAAGCATTTCAGAGATGGAAATAGTGACTTGGAGGGAAACTCTGTGGATCAATACAATGAAGATTGAATAAAAGTGGTAGATGTCTTTGAAACATTACAGCATGTAGACCCTCTCTGGAAATGGCGAGAAATGAGGAGCATGATTTTGAGCACCTTGCCATAAGTATGACACCATATGACTTTCAATATGCCATAATACCACCAATGAGTTTGCAAACAGCTGACTCATTTCAGCCCCAGTCTCCATGTACTGCAACATTGGTTGACAGAAATTGTTAATGCAAACTGGATAAACAGTCCTAGGGCATAACTTGGTGATACGAAAAATTAGAAGAAAAGTCAACACTTAAGACTTAAGAGCAGCAAATTACATTTATGGGTACACTGTTGTACCTGAACCTAGACTATGGAAAAGACAGTGAACAAGCCTTTTAAAACAATAAAACAAAGGGAAAATGCTATCCACTTGTTGATTTGGAGCTGCACTTATTGCATCCATCAACATTCTCTACCCATTCACTGTTTCATCCATGTGACTGCTATTGATTGCTGATAGTTCAGGTTTTGCATAAGGACATAGTTTAGCATGATGCATGGAAAAAACAATGTCAAAAAATACTTTGCATCTTGTTGGAATGACTACACCATGATGCAATGAAAAATGAATGAAAACTGGCCCAAATGAGGTTGATGAGGAAGACCATAAGTGATGGCTATGACCAGGGGTGTCACTTCTCAGTCATTTGGTAATCTGTGCTTACAACTAACTTATAAGCTGCGCTGCATTTCCAGGCACTGCCTTTTACAACACATGCACTGTACCTAGCGCACACAGGCATTGCAACACACCCAACTTAGTGTTGTATGTGAATTGCACATTTGGTAAATGGAAAGCATGTATCTTATGATGGTGACATTTGCCTGGAAGAAAAAATCATCCAGGGCAAATACAAGCTTGATATACCTTGCTAAGAATTATCAATACAACATGTGTGACACTTTACCTCCCTTTGATTTGCATATGGTCTGACCTTCAATGTTTCTCTAACCTCACAAAAACTACACAATCTAGAGAAGTGTATACACAATAAGTACAAGAAATCAAAAAGTCAATTTACATGCACTTTATACATACTATGCAGTGTCAGTTACATTTGCCATAAAAAGGATGTACTGCTCACAACTGCTTGGTACAGATACTGATGTGGCTGACATCCCTTCAAGCCACAAATATGGATGCATTATGCACATACACATACATCAACTGATGTACTTTTGTGTAATTGTTCTCTTGTGTTCCATCTGGCAATAATTATAACTGCCATTGACTTGTGAGCTGTAGGATACCCCAAATCTTCAGTGTTGGAAAGTTAAACATTCTCAGGCAAATTACACCTTAACAAGACCACTCCCCTGGACTTAAATCCGAATTTTCCATACTTTTTCTGAAGTATGGACATCGTGAAGCCTCCTGCATACTTGTGATACAGATACAAGGTCTTCTATACTCAGGAAACACAAGACATGTTCCAAAATTTCAGTTGGCAGGGAAAGCAGAGATTTCTCAACATCCTTGTCTTCGCTGACCAGATGCATCACTTTCTCCTCATTCGAGAACTCCATCGCATCTATCAGCAGCATTCAACAATCACGTGCACTGTTTCAGATATCGAAAGTAGTCACCAAACTCAGCAGATTCAGCTTTGCACGGATGAACGTGTTGAATACAAACACGCGTCGGAGCGCCGGAATGGAACGGAAGTCAAATGCGGGCGGTTGGCGGTTAGAGACCTGCGGCACGTTGCGGACGAGGCCGTTCAAACCTTCCAATGAAAGCGGTGTGATTGTTAAACTGATGCGGTCGTGGCTGAACCGGACTTGCAAATGTTATGCGCGCTGGAACGGCACTCAGAGTCTCAATTCTCGTTTTAGTTTGGATCGGGGAAAGGAAACTGTAGCCAAGGGAGTTACTTCATAGACTTTTACGTGGCCTAAGCCCAACAATGCTGATTTCAGCCCGCCCCCGCTCAAATCTCTCCTAATTCTTGTCATGCTGGATTACTGGGCAGGAAAGGAATACTGGGTCACAAAAAAACACAATCGTATAACTCTGAGTACAGGTAGCAGGCTTCTTAAACACACCCACTATTAGGATCATGTACATTTAGGGGTGGGACACTGTCGTTTTCGTTGTGGAACCAAAATCATGAACCTTACCCATTCTATTTGCCAGATCCATTCCTCCACAGGTTTTCACCCCCTTTTTCGCTCGTTATGGTTATGGTCCTTTGCTTTCGTGCGTTAGTTTCGCTCGCGCAGCTTCTCTTGCATTTATTTCACGCAACAAAAAAAATTGGTGCGAGTTGACTTTTAACGCGTGGGCTTTTCTACGAATATATTAATGTTGGCTGGCTAAAAACACGCCATGTCGTTTACAGGCTATTTGGCTGAGTGCAACACAAGACGCACATAACTTTAAAATGAGAGGTGCTACTTGGGGTGTCCTGGACATATGTGCAGAATTTCAGCGCTGTAACAATTTGTATGACATCAAACAGACGCTCGTTTATAAGCGAGGTTTATTCACAGACATTTCACAGCTGCTGGAAATATGACGCTCGCCATGTTAGATTGATATTACAGATTCAATTTCGCGTGTCACATTCAATCAACTCACCGATATGAACGAGACTTGGCTGCCAGATTAGGCAAGTTACACCATTTACAAATATATCAGCCACAAAGTGCGACATTAAAATACAATCGTGCCGTTGAATCATCAATGTTCATCGTCGTTGAAAGCTTTTCTTGGGTAAACGTTCGCTAACTCACGCAGATTTTGGCCAAAATTTGTTTGTTGATAGTGCACGCGCGTTGATAGAACCAAAGCATCTCAAATAAAAAATCCCACTTCCACCTATCACATTCGAAATCACGCGCCATACACAACCGTAAAAGTTCAAGGTCATAAAATTGGGCACCCCAAAAGCTTCAGATTGGACAGCAACATACAGCCTCATGAAATCCACCTAACCACCACATATAAAGATCGTGGCGTTTAAACGTTTGTTTTCTAGAAGCCTTGAAAACTTGGAAATGACGTCCCTGCACGCGTTAACATACAGACATTGCATGCCAGCTATAAGACAAGCGAGACTCATTCGATCAGCCTGAAATTTAGCACAAAAAAGCACATCATGTACGTGTACAGTTTTTGTTGAGTGGCAATTTGTGACATTTAAATTTACGCATTCTAGAGGCTTTCAAGCATGGGATGTATGACATATGCATGAAAACGACACCAGCAGCGTCGCAACATGAAACCAAGGCTAAGGAATGCTGCATCGTACAGGATGCATCTGGGCATTGTCTGTCACATGACATGTCATGTGACATTTGATCATGCGAAATGCGATATGCAAATTAAATACGTCACATATGAAGATCGTTTTTCCACCTTCGCAGACTACTCTGATTGTCACAAATTTTGCCACAAACATTCACCTCGCATGGCTCCATCCAACCACCAAATATTATACCGTGAAATTTAAATGTTCGTGTTCCAGCAGCATCCAAACCTTGGATATAACAACCTCGCACGTGTAACATACATGCATTGCATGTTAGCGAAAAATAAAAACTCCATTCATCAGGACGAAATTTGGCCAAAAATGCATCATGTACTTGCACAATTTTTCGTTTATTGGCAATTTTTGACGCTCAGATTTACACATTTTGGAGGTTCTCAAACATAAAAATATATGACAGATACATCAAACGGCACAAAGGCGTTGTAATATGCCGCAAAGCCCGAGGAAGTCAGCAAAATGCATCCTGCCGGATGCATTTCGCGTTGTATCCCACATGACACGTCAAATGGCAATATGTCACTTTGAGTCTGAGGGATGATACTTGGGGTGCCCTGTACATATGTGCAGTATTTAAGCGTTTGTGACATTTGCATGATATCAGACGGACGTCCGTATTTAACCGAGGGTTCTCACAGACATTCCACAGCTCCTGAGAGATGTGACGCTGGTAGTGTGAAATCGATATTAGATATGCGCGTTCGCGTGTCACATTTCAATCTACTCACCGTAAGAAATGATCCTGGCTCCCAGATAGGACAAATTACATCATTTAACGACAACATCAGCCACAAAGGACGACATTAAAAAACAAACCACGTTCTAAATGATGAAAGTTTAACGTCGTTCAAGGCTTTTTCTTATGCGCACTCGTTGAGTGTACACATTTCGTCCAAATTTGTTGATAGAACAAAGCTTCTCAACTAAAATCTCACTCTCCATCTGTACATTCGAAAATGCGCCGTACAGAACCGTAAAAGTCTATGGTAAATACGCCCGTGCAGGAAACGTGAAATCGCCCGTACAAAACCGTCTCGGGAACTAAGAAAGCTAGAAACACCAAATTTACAGGATGTATTGGC